GTTGTTGTTGTTGTTATGTGCCTTTGAGTCGGACCCGACTCATAGCAACCTCTCCTTGGGTTTCCGAGGTGATATCACTACGGAGGTAGATTGCCCAACCTTCCTTCTGAGGAGTGGCTGGTGGGTATATATATATATATATATACACACACACATACATACATACCTCAAACTCAAGTCATTTCCGACTCATAACTACTCCCATCAGGTTTCCAAGGCAGTAAATGTTTATGGAAGTAGATTGCCTTATCTTCCTTCCATGGAACAGCTGATGGGTTTGAACTGCCAACCTTCTGATTAGCAATCAAATACCTTAGGCACTGAGCCACCAGAGCTCCTTATAAAAAAACATAGACTCCTATATTCTTATTTAAGGAATTGTTCAGAAATCAGAAATCTTTACTAAAATTTGTCAAAGACGGAATTGTTTCTCTTTCCCCTTTTATTTTTTGTGGAATAAACATCTCATTCATTTATTCTTGATTTACCAATGTTGGGTGCCTATAATGCATCATGTGCAGTGCTATGTTCTGAGAATATAAATGGGAACATGACAGGTTCCCTCTGTAGTCAAGAACCCACATAGGCCATTGCAATTCTGTGTGATCAGTGCTGGAATGTACTTAGGTATCGCTGGCATACCAAGTCAGGCACTTAAACCAACTTTGGAGGTAAAATGACATTTAAGCTGAGACTTGACACATAGTAGATATTCAAACAGTTATCCCCATGTGAATAAACCTGACATGAAAATATGGAGTATGAGGCAAAATAGCACGACAATCTACAGGAAAAGAAAAGGTGTGGGGGAGGGGAGAAGAGAGGGAGGAAGGGAGAGAGGGAAAGAGAGAGAGGGAGAGGGGAAAACAGGAGGGGAAAGAGAGTGAAAGAGAGAGACACAGAGTGAAGCACAGTTTGAGAGGGAAAACAGCAATGCTATAGAGACAGATAGAGGTCAAGTCAGGGAGGGCTTTACAGGCCATATAATAGGAGAGGCAACACAAAGAGCAAAGAGACCAATTCTTTAGTTACAGATATCCAGATTGATGGTGGCCTGGGAGAGGGTAGTGGCAGTGGAAATAGATATAAGTAGATAAACCCAAGAATTATTTTACTTAGGAGTTAGAACTTGGAGGCTATAGTGGGTGATGATATTCAAAGACACAGAAAACACCAGAATAAAGAGTATCTTTGGTGGAGGGAAGCGTGGGTCTGATTTTGGATGTTGAGTATGATGTAAGAAAACAGTTTGGAGAATGGTTTGGGCTGAAGATATGTATTTTAGTATTGTCAGCATAGATATGGTAGTTGAAACTTTGAGATCATATTTATTGAGTACCTATTATTCATTGGGTACCTGATATTGAGTGTTCTATGTAGGAGCTCTGGTAGCGTAGTGGCTAAAGCACTTGACTGCTAACCAGAAGGCTGGCAGTTCAAACCCACCAGCCACTCCTTGGAAGGAAGGTTGGGCAATCCTACTTCCGTAGTGATACTGCCTCGGAAACCCAAGGAGGGGTCGCTATGAGTCGGGGCCGACATGACGGCACATAACAACAACAACAACATGTTGGACATTGGGATACAATGGTGATTAAAACAGATAGAGTGAGGTCCAGGAGAGGGACCCTCAGGAATAGCAATATAAAAGTCAGGCAGAAAAAGGGACTCCCATAAAGGAACCTAAAGGAAAAGTGCAAGAAAAATAGGGGAAAACTAAGAGAAGTTACTGAAGTTAAAAGAACATGTCTCTAAAAGAGAGAGGTCAACAATGCTTAATCTTTCCTAGAAGTTAAATAAAGTAAGAACTGGAAAGTACCCGCTGGCTTTAGCAACAAGGAGGACATTGTTTTTGGTGACAAGCATACTTTTAGTAGATAGTGGGAAAAGCTTTATAGGAGTGGTTTGAGGTAGAGACAGCACAGAGAGCTCTTTCAATTAATCTTATTGTAAAGAGAAGAAGAGATGATAATAACTGGAGAGGAACAAGAATAGGGTCATGACTCTTCCATTCTCCCAAGATGGGAGTTGAGAAGACTGATGGCTATTAGAGAGGGAATTGTTGAAGATGCAGGAGAGAGCTGAATAATCAATAGAGAAGGGTCACTGAGATGCAGAATGGGTGGGAATTAGAACAAAGGATGAAGAATTGGTCTCCTCCAATGCAACTGGAAGACAGGAGGAAAACAAGCTTGTGCAGATGCTATAATTTTAGTGGCAGCTGACTGGAAGTTGAAGGTGTTCCTGTTGGGCAAATTCTCTTTATTCTGAGAAGAAGGAGGCAAGATTGTTGACTGAAAGTGGGTGGTGAGGATCGAAATGTGGGGAGAATGGAGACTTAGATCAGCTTCTGCTGAGAATAGGAGTCCCTGGGATGTGCAAATGGTTAATGTGTTTGGCTGATGCCAAAATTTGGATTGGAGGTTTGAATCCATCCTGGAAGAAAGGCTTGGGGTACTTCCAGAAAATCAGCCATCGAAAACTCTATGGGGCACAGGTCTACTCTGACACACATGGGGTACCCACAAGTCAGAGCTGACTTGATGGAAACTGGTTTCTGTTGGAAACAGAGACTGCTGGCTGACCAGGAGAATAGACAGAATCACTAGCAGACAGATGGATCAGCTCAGCTTGGAGATCATGGGTATTTCTATGTGGAATGAGAAAAGGAATGCTGTTTTAGGTGTTTAGCTTAGAACTGAAAAATGAAAATAAAGCTATCAGATTAGGTGATAAAGATGATATGAGATCTATGTTGTAATGACTGCCAATGGTTACAGGATAAGCTAGAAAAGGTCAAGGGGAGACCATGAACTTCAACTTCCTTGGGAAGCTGCTAATGAGAGGAGGAAGAGGAAATTCATCACTTAGTTGTTCAAGATCGTTCTTTCTTTTTTGTTTTGCAACAATAAAGAATAGCTTCTAATGAGGGTTCAGAATGCCTAAGACAGGTCCTGGTCCTTAGCACTTTAACATGCTGTAGTTTAGCCTCCTCCAAAGCTTTCTTATTATGCCTTTCTTGTGATCATTTTAAACTGTGAAGACTGACATGTAAAGAAAAGAAGAACCTTGTAAAATCTTTCTAACAATGATTTAATATCTAAATTTAAGACATTCAACTAATTGTTTCTTCAGCTAAAATAATAGAATTACTTGTAATCCCTATTTTCTTTTCATTTTAAGAATATTTGAGGTCACAGTGGCTCTGACTACATTTCCTTAGAAGGATTCTTTCTTCTGGAGCAGATATTGATAATTTCAAAGGTTTCCACTCAGGGGCATATAATGCAAGGGGTATGTAAAATAATCTGCTGGGTATAGGCAGAAAATATAAAGTTTTCTTCCCACACTCCAATATTTTGTGTTACTTATTTGACTAAGAATAAAGTTACCAAGTTTTATGTTTTTTTTGTGATATATGACTTGACATTGGTGCCCACATGTGGGTATATATGGATTCTGAAGTGTCCTTGGGGAAGAGTGGGAATTCTACAATATGAGACTCTGACATGGGCCTTCCATTTGTCTTCACTTTTAGCATCCTGGAATATATGGCCATTGGCATGTGCCTGAATCATGTGGATTTACAGAGTTATTATCTAGTTTCTATTAGGGTAACATACAAAACGCATGAGTGTCTTAAACCTATTTCTGCCCAGGACTGAAGTTAATACTAATCACATAAACATAAGGAAGCCACAAGAACATGTCACAGCTGATGGTTCTCCTGCTACATTAAAAAATAAAACTGGAATAATTGAACAAAATCAAACAAGAAATTGAGAAAAAAAAATAAAATTATCAAAAAGACTACTGAAAATATGAATTTATATTCACTAGGCTGGTGTAAGGAGCTCTGGTGGCATAGCACCTAAGGCATTTGACTGCTAACCAGGAGGCTAGTGGTTCAAACCCACCATCCACTCCTTGGAAAGAAGATTGGGCAATCTACCTCTGTAGAGATACCACCTCGGAAACCCAAGGAGGGGTTGCTATGAATCAGGATCCACTTGATGGCAGTGAGTTTGGTGTTTTTTGTTTTGTTTTGGTTAAAGTTAAGGCTAAGGAGTTCTGGTGGTGTAGTGGCTAAGGCATTTGGCTGTTAACCAGAAGGTCAGTGGTTTGAACCCACCAGCTGCTTCATGGAAGAAAGATGAGGCAGTCTGCTTCTGCAAAGATTTACAGCATTGAAAACTCACTGGTGGTCACTATGAGTTGGCACTGACTCCATGGCAGTGAGTTTGGTTTGGGTTTTTGGAGGGTTAAGTATGAACCTTGCCCCAACTGCATATTTTGCTTAGAAATACCTTCATGATTAGCTACTCATTTAGAATATTTATTATTTTTTTACCTCATGCTTTAAACATTTTTACTTTTTGTGTTTTATAATTTGTGTAACATATTAACAACAACAAAACTCACTGCCTTTGAGTGGATTCTGAGTCATAGCAACCCCTCCTTGGAGTTTTAAAGAACTATCTTTACGGAAGTAGCTTGCCCAGTCTTCTTTCCAAGGAGTGGCTGGGATTAAACTGCCAGCCTTCTGGTTAGCAGTCAAATGCCTTATGCACTATGCCAACATATTGGCATAATATATAAAGTAATATACGTAATATACAATGCACGTATTGTTGTTAGTTGCTGTCAAGTGGACTTCAACTCATGGTAACCACATGTATTACAGAATATGACTTTTTTTATAGGATTCTCTCAGCTGAAATCTTAAAAGAAGCAGGTTGCCATGCCTTTTCTTTTGTGATAGTGCTGGGTGGATTCAAACCACCCACCTTTAGGTTAGCAGTTGAGCAGCAACTGCGCCACATGTATATTTTTAAAGATATTTGGGGTAGGAACTGGGGAATGTTTTATTCATTGGATTGCCTATTTAAAAATCTTGACAGCACTGGTGTAATTTGTCATCTGTCAATGTTGTTAGGTGCTGTTGAGTTGACTCCAACTGATAGCGACCCCATGTACAACAGAACAAAATACTGCCCAGTCCTGCGTCATCCTCACAATCATTGCTGTGTTTCAGCCCATTATGGCAGCTACTGTGTCAATACATCTCATTGAGGCCTTTCATCTTTCTTTGCTGACCCTCTGCTTTACCAAGCATGATGTCCTTCTCCAGAGACTGGTCCCTCATTATAACATCTCCAAAATAAGTAAGAAGAAGTCTTGCTTGAAAACATATGTGGACCAACAGTGGTTTGGAGTCTCTTTTAATGCTCTGCCATACTACAGCTCTGCAGAGATCCTGCAAGATGAAGGACTCAACCAGTCCTCCATGTTCACAGCTAAGCGAAGGAAGCTCATCTGTTTTTGACACATGAACCCAGTGAGCCATGACAATGTACCTTCTGCTTTTCCTTCTCAGTCACGGATTGCTTGGAGCTTTCTACAAGATGGAAAAGTGCTTCGTGCTTCTTGGTACTCACCATTAATTTTTTCTTGGCCTAGAGTCAAATATAAATAAATAAATAAATAATCAAGTAAAAGCAGAAACTGATAGGAAAATCCAAAAAAGATTTTCTTTTTTGGAACAAGTCATGCCCATGTGTTAGCTTGAATGAGTCTGTATTTTTAGTTCTTTCTTCCTCCCCTCACCTCAAAATCTGCCTAAAATATCACAGTGGCAAACAATTTTCCCCTGAAAACCACTGCAAGCTTTCATTATACTGTGTGCACTCAAGAGGGTTATACATTTTGCTAAATCACTGCAGTTCTGCAGGCCTCCAAAACATTGTTATAGCACGGACAACTTCACCATTCTTTTAAATCAATCTGGGCCACAACTGAAGTGGTTTTAAGATGCTTTTTTAAAATTTGCTTTAAGGCAGAAATTTTGCTCCATGATGCCTGTTGGAAAGCTAGGTATTTGCAGACATCCTGTGAAATGACCTGCACTTTTAGAGATGAGGGGAGGAGAGGTAAGAGAAGAGGTAGGGATGGAAGAAGAGCTCAAAGTCCCCCTTACTCTTTTGATGCCTCAAATCTAGGAGCAAGTTAAGATTCAGGTGATCATTTTCTGTTCTGCACAGTTGGAATTTGGCAAAAGTTGATGCTCCAGAGATAAAATAATAATAAAAAAAATTGGTTTGAGCCTGTTTATGAATTGTCTGATTAAAAGACTGCTTGGCTTTTCATTTAAAGCTTACAAGGACAGATAATGAAAGGGAACAATGAAACAGATAATGAAGGGGATGCATGCAGGTCTTGCTTTTCCTTAGACTTTTACCATGGAAATTGGTGCAAAGCCTTCCTTGTCTCTCTAAAGTGAATTCAAGGAACAAGAGGCCCATAGACCCTCCTTCCCCACCTGCCCAGCGATTAATGAGAGCATGAGGCAACAGCATTTGATTCTTTAAGGCTTTGCCTGTGTGTCTCCAAAACAGACTCTACTTCATTATTGACACGCTCAACCCCTTGAATTGTAAAGGGGGGAAAAATTATACTCAGGAATTTTATGTTCTCTAATTTCTCTTTCACTCTTCGTAAAAGATCAAAATCATTTTATTTAGAAAAATTACTTAGTAGAAGCTGGGATATAATAAAATATGGTTTTTATTCTTGGAAGCAATTGAAAATTTTGAGCATTGTTTCTGGCTTTTGGTCTATTATATTGAATACTCTGTGAAAGCTGGGTATTTAGAGAAAATGAACTTTTAAAAATAAGTCCTTTTTAGGAAAGCTCATAATATCAAAAGCTAAATTGAAAACAAATGACTGGATATTTTTTCTGAGATTTTGAACATTTACTGTAAAGTGATTCTTGTGAGCATCCTTTTCCCAGCATAGCTACTGTTGACATAAAAATTCATTTATCTCAAACATTTCTTAGCTCTTGTGAAGTCTTCAGTTTCAGCAGAAGCTTCAGAGGCAACATGGAGGGCTGAGATGCCCACCTCTTGTTCCCCCATCTCTGAGGGCTTTTCTAGTTATTTGGCACTAGTGGCTGTTCATTTGAGAAGACTCCTACCAGTTTGGAGAAGAAAAAGAGAATGTCAGCTTTCGAAGCACAAGTCTTCTCAAAGAGGATCAGGCCAAAAAGGTTTCTCAGCAGATTCCCTCTCCATTGGCATCTAGTCTTTCCCACTAGAAATGATTTCCTTCTGCGCTAAATTGTTCTAGAGTAATCTATACAATCTGGACCATAACTGAAGTGGTTTTAAGGTGCTTTTTAAAAGTTTGCTTCAAGGCAGAAATTTTGCTCCGTGATGCCTGGACTTGGAAAGCTAGGTGCTCGCTGTGTGAGAACCTCTAAGAAATCCCTGTGTAGTGCAAATGGTTAGCATACTAGGCTGCTGACTGACAGGTTGGAAGTTCAAGTTTACCCCGAGGGGCCTCAGAAGAAAGGTCTGGTTATCTCCTTCTGAAAAATCAGCCATTGAAAACCTTATGGAGCACAGTTCTACCTGACATATATGAGGCCACCATGAATCAGAGGTGACTTGATCTCTTAGCATTTATTCACTGTTTCCTGAACTTTAATATAAGAACCATGTTTTAGCACAGTGTTGTGCACAAGAAGTGCACCATACATACTTGTAGAGTGTGACTGTATATATATATATATATATATATATATATACATACATATATATATATATATATATGAGTTCTGGTAGCATAGTGCCTAAGGCACTTGACTGCTAACCAGAAGGCTGGCGGTTCAAACCCACCA